TCAAAGAGACGTAATGAAACACGCTGTTGAAATCATTTTAACTTTGAGCGACACTTTAGAAGGCTCAGCTGACCAGCTATGCGTCGATGCTAAGACAGAGATTTCGCTTTCCTTGGACATGACAACCTATTTTCACAAATATATATGACTCTGCCTGGAGGACAGACGCAAGTAATCGCACGCGCTCAGTCGATCTCTCTCTCGTTCACTGTCTGTTTAGGCTTGTTACGTGCAAATCTACGAAGCCCGAGCCTCTGTACAAATCACCATGGTACATATTATGTTATCATTACTAACTTGTTTAATATTTAGTCCACATGCATGAAGTGCAAAACGAGAAGGGCATAACCTTACGAAAAAATAAAACGCGCAAAAATCGCGGTTGCTGCAGTTCTTGCATTCCTCTGCGGTTTGCTCGTCAATATCGCGGTATTGCGATATTGCGGTTATCGCGACAGCCCTATTCTAGACATTTTATTCAAAGAAACATTGGGGATAATTGTAAATAAACTAGCATTTTTTTATTTTATTTTATAATTTTATTTATTCAGTTAAAAAGTTAAAATGATATCACTCCCCAACTGCCCAAAATTTCTTCTTCTATATAGCATCAATGCTTCTTTGTCCAAAATGTTTCAAACTCCAAAAAGTGTTTTATTTCCAGAAATGACAGATTTTCAATGTGGTTTCAGACATTTTCATTCCCCACTGTACTTTTTAAACAGACGTGTCTTGCTCAAGGAAGCTGAAAGCTCATGGATCATAGCTTGTGGGATTTGAACCTATAACCTTTTGGTTACTAGCCCAGATCTTTAACCACTAATTAACACCATACCCAAGGAACAGAAAAATTCTGTTTCTGTGACTAGTTTCAAACTACCTTAAATCCAACAGTGAACCTAAAAGCCCACCAGGATGTTTCCTTACCGCCCAATTCCATCTACACAACAACTCTTACATGAGCCCATGAACGCCAGCTAGGCTTGAGGAAGGGTTCTGACATCATTTGTTTGTGGAGTTAGCCGTCTCTGGCCACTGGGCTTTCAACAGGTGAAATGAGGCACTCTGTGGAGTTGGACCCATCAGTGCAGGGCTGCACGGATCAAAGATCCCCCTGTGGCACACAGGATCTGCCCCTCACATCATTCCACTGACCCCAGGCCAGCTCACATGGGAGACAGGTGAGGCTGTGTACGTCTGCCAGGCTTTTACACGCTTCTGGGCAAACGCACATGCTTACATGGATATGGTGCTCATGCTGTTATTATGTTTCTTCCATTTAGTCACCATGCTATGGTTAACTCTGAGCACAATGATTTACAGTGACGAAAATTCATCACATCATTGTGTTGCTAACTCTTTTATGACCTTCCTTCATCACTGAGCACTCCTTACATGTCAAATCAGTTGCTACATCATTACTGGCTACAAACCAGTCCACAAATACTATTTAGGCAGTTCTATGAAACCGTGAAAAGCTGAAATTCATCATTAGATAATTATCTTCATCACATTCAAAATCATTCCATGGCATTTTTGTGTTAAAAAAGCTGAAATAAGGTATAAATTGTGATTACAACAAAGCACAAATTAGCCTTCCAGAACTTTAACACTCACTGTTCTGGGATGGTAGAATAATCTTTCAAAATCTCTGAACAGCCCTCACTATCTTCAATTGTGGGCAATGAAGAAAAAGGGCTGGCAATTTAATTTAAAAACAAAACAAAAAACTGTTATGTAATAAAACTTGTCTTTCTGTCAGTAGAAACGCAAAAACAGTTATGAAATCAGTGTTACAAGACTAGCAAAAACTAGACTGAACTGGACTTTTTTCCCTTTTGGAAGTTTTTTCCTTTTGCCAAAAAACTTCAACATCCACAATGCACTTTTGATTCTGGTGCCATCCCTCTGTCGAGCCGACTGTCCATAAGTGGGAAAACAAAAATATGGAAGTTTGATCTGACTCTATTGTTAAAGGGGTCATATGGTGTTGCTAAAAATAACATTATTTTGTGTATTTGGTGTAATGAAATGTGTTTATGCGGTTTAAGGTTCAAAAAGCACATTATTTTCCACATACTGTACATTATTGTTTCTCCTCTATGCCCTGCCTTTCTGAAACGCGTCGATTTTTACAAAGCTCATCGGTCTGAAAAGCAAGGTGTGCTGTGATTGGCCAGCTATATCCAGTGCGTTATGATTGGCCGAATACCTCAAGCGTGTGACGGAAATGATACGCCCCTACCATACTGTGATGATGCCCTGTCAGGCCGGAGCGATGATTCAAAAACATGAAAACCCATTATAAACGAGGCAGTCAGTTTATTTTCTATGGTTTATTATAAAACCGTGAAATAGACAGAACACTTCAGAAACTGAACTAGCAGTTATGTATGCCATTGAATTGCATTTTTCTTTAATTAAACCATTTATTGTCCTCTAAACAGGAAAAGCCCATTTCTACGCCCCGTTGGCACTCAGCAAACATGAAAAAAATGGCCAAAACACTGAGCAACGTTAGCAACAGCCATCAAACAAACTTCATTGATTCATAATAAACGAAAAACAGAAATAAAATAAGTCTACCCATATATCTCTATATCAAAATATACTAACACTAAACATCTGAAAACAAAAATACCAACTTTTCTCATGGGACAAAATGTCACATTTAATGAACTTTGTTTTCTGATATGACAGAATGTTTACCTTCAAAGCCCACTCTCTCCAGCAGGTTGAGGGGGTACCAGATGAGGGGTCTGTTGCCCACAGGTAGCAGAGGTTTGGGGGTGTTATAGGTGAGATCCATCATCCTGGAGCCTCCACCTGCTGCCATCAGCACCGCCTGCAGCTCCATCCCTAACACCTGCAGGACAAAACAAACAACACATTCAGTCTAACTACAACAGCTCTCACAACAAAACATTGTACTAGACTGACAGACAGAACCTTATGTTGAATATTCCTTGATTCAACATGCTTTTCAAAACAGGACCCTTATTTCATCATCTACACAACGTCCACCGAGACGCACTGCAAAACATAACCGCTTCTGACGCTATTATTAATTAACGTTTAAACAAGTTTAGAAACACAAACACTCGGCTTACCTGTATTGCTAGTCCAAATGTTTATGCTTGGTCAAGTATTGAGTCCGTGCACGTGAAAATCTGCAGCACTGTAGCAGACGGTCATGTGGATCAGTCTGTCACTAGATTCGCTATCTTCAAACACTTACTGCTAAAATTAAGATAATCTACTTACAAAGAATACGAATAACTAAAAATCCTCAGAATGTTTTATCTGTAGTAGTCTACAATAACTGACCAGATATTTCCAGATAATGACATAAGACCGCTACTTGTAAATGGGTCGTACGGAAATCATGAGCAGTAACTTTGGTTCCGAACAGAAAATCAGTTCCCCTATTTGAAGCAGAATGAGAAAGCGTCACTTCAATTTTTTATTTATTTATTTTAATTATTATGTATATAAATATACTATATATTACAAATGTGCAAATGTACAATTTGATTTATATAATAATGTTTTTTTTTTATATATATATACAGCAGTAAACAGCAGTAGGGTAGGTTTTTTTGTAGCTAAATGTAAAAGCAAAAAGGCGTCTAGAGGAAAATATTTTTGTAACGTATGATACTGATAGATAAATCAACCATCTTTTCCCGCTTTTTGTTTGAGTTTATGCGTTTGCTGTTTTTCATTCTTTCATTTTCGTATTTTGTTGTTTGCATAATTTGCAAACATAATTTTGTTGTTCATTATTAATTTACTTTTTCTTTTGTTTTAATGTGCATATCAGAGGAGTTTGAGAAGGGGTTGTAAAATGTTTTTTATTTTTAAAGTAATATGAATATGACATGCTAAGTAGTCTACTGAAACTTAAAAATATGGTTTATAACAATACAACACAACCTATAATTTTACACATAATAAAATATATATTTAATATAGTTTACATTACATTGACCAATTAATTTTCCAGTTTCATAGCATCCAACATCTCTTAAAAAATATAATACCCACAATAAATTGCTGTAATGTGGTATTACTCACCGCTGTCATCATGAAACAAATGACATAAACTGACAGAAAATACTGAATGTTTCTCAAAGTGTTTGAATGTCCAATATTAATATATTATGGTTTTAGATCAACAACAACTGTAGCTTATAACTATTTTGGCAGAATAGTTACTGTTACAATTTTGTAATAGATTTTTCCTTCCCACGTCAACAACTCTCCCTTTTTCTAGAGTTCACTTGGAACCTAAGTGTATTAAGAATACATCCAGTTTCACAGTCAAAATGTAAAGTTGTCTCTCAAGCCCAGTTCCCTCCACCCATATCCCCTCAGTCAACAGGCATGGCCCAAACCCCAATTCACAGACCTCCGATGTAACAGCAAATTGAACTCTGGGAATGTGGCTTAGCTTTGTTTTCTCTGGACAGGAGATGAGCTTCATTGGTTGCTGCCTGCAGAAGAAACATTGGAATAACAGAGCAGGCTGCCTCCATTAGAAAAAAAAGCAGAAAGAAAAGCTAAAGCAAAGGAAATATTGATGTTAAAGCTCTAACTGTTTGTGTGCTGAATTCACACCTTTGCTGTTTCCTAACACCAGCTGTTTGTGATTCACACTCTCCAAAAACTTTGGCCACCTTATCTTTTCTTCTTTAGTAAAGTGAAGCAACATTTTTAAAGGATAACCCGAGAAATCTCATACGGATTACATGACCCAAGTTTAACATCTGGTGTACTGCCTGAACGGACCGCTGCAATTTCTGTGGGGTCATGTTAAATGATCACAAACAGAGAGCAAAAACAAGCATTCTCATTTACATTTTTATGTCCAGCTAAGCAAGCAAATCTGCTTTTCGTTTGGTCTGCGTGGGGGAAATGATGCTAAATGTTGGTGATGTGCATCATTGAAAGTAAATTGGTTAAAACAGATGTGCACAATACAAATTAAGCCCATACATTCAATCATTCATCGAATACTGCTGAAACATGTTCACATGCGGTTCTATGGAATCAATAAAGCCTTAAATGGCTTATTATAAAACGGCAGCAATAATGTGAAGAAGAGGTAATAAAACAATGTTATACTTAACAAACATCTTTGTAGTAGTCATAAAAATGCAATATTGGTCAACCTCGAACTATTGAATACATGCAGATTAAAGCTAAAAAGCCTGAATCTTTTTCAGATTTGACCGTTACTTCTTACAAATTTCAAAGTGAAGTCCATTTTAACATCCATGCAATCTGGCAACCATCATCTCTGAAATCCAGCCATAAGAGTTTTAATGTTCTGTTCTAATACCTCTGATTCATCTTTATTTACAAGTTGTTCACTACACACAGATGGCAATATTTTTGTCATTACAGCAGCAGGCTCTTGTTCAAGAGAAGACGGTAATAAAAGTCAGTCCAGGCCACTGACACTTCTCTAGTGATTATCTGCTCTTTTACAGCACTAACCTGTGACCATGACAAACTCTGGAGGGATTAAGACTAAAGGCAGACATGATTGTGCTAATGATGGCATGGAGGGATGGGGCACAGAGAGGAAATGTGGCACAGGTGTTGCATTATGGAACAGAGTCCTTGATGAGTGATATTTGAGATGAACATGAACAAAAACTTTCATAAAACCTTTAAGATGCAATCTAATCTGAAACAAACTGAGTAACATGCATATGATTAAGACTATTTTAAAAAGTTAAAATAGTAACTTATGTATGTATATTACAATATTATAATTTATATTATATTATAATTACAAAACATATCATAGATAGATAGATAGATAGATAGATAGATAATATTTTAAATAATGAAAATAATATTTGAAAATAGCAATAAACCTTTCCAAAAATGTAAGAAATATGAAAAATATTCATATGAATAGTGTGTGTGTATATAAACAGTATATACAGTATATACAGTGTGTATGTATGTGTATATATACTGTATATAGTATATATATATATATATATATATATATATATATATATATATATATATATATAGCACACACACACACACACATGATTCCACTATTCTGTGGCTAAAATGCATCTAATAAAACTGGATGTCTTGTTAATTATATGATTTCAATATGCATTTAAGTGTAAAATTGTCAAATTTGTGACAAATCCTCTGAGCCTTATGTTATCAAGATAACTGATCCTGACAATTTGCCATCGGAGCAGTCAACATAAAGACTTTCCAGCACAGGATAATGAGTCCAGATACGTAGATCCAAAGCAGAGTCATAAGGCTACCACAGACTTGAAGCTCTGCCTCGATTTCCTATTCCTGGCCATCGCAGCTCTTGTAAATCATTCTCAATTCCCTTAAACAAGCCAGTTGGATTAGGTTGGTTTAGATCATAAACATTTGCAGGGCCAGACCACCCAGGGAGTGAGACTCAGGCCTGACCGCTGCCTCGCTGCGAGCCACGGCCAGGCAGAAAGCACAACACGCTCAGTGTGGTTTGTGTTTGCGGCACTTCCTGGACAGAGAGAGAGAGAGTGACAGAGAAAGAGAGAGAGAGAGAGAGAGAGAGAGAGAGAGAGAGAGAGAGAGAGAGAGAGAGAGAGAGAGAGAGAGAGAGAGAGAGAGAGAGAGAGAGAGAGAGAGAGAGAGAGAGAGAGAGAGAGAGAGAGAGAGAGAGAGAGAGAGAGAGAGAGTGAGAGAGTGAAAGAGAGGGCCCCATCTGCCA